CACCCCTTGTTGACCCCACCCAGCCACCCCACCTCACCCTGCCCCACCCTGCCCATCCCTGGAGTCTCCACTCAGCCCGTTTTAGATGTGAAGTAAGTGAATGGCCACACAGAGGCTTGGGGAGGGGGAAAAACGGGCTTCCTGGAAGTTCCAGCCCTCCAGAGCCTGGGGGAAGCAGTTTTTGCCCTCCCTGAGGCATGTTTGCAGGAGGCTGACTAGGCCACACCCACCATGGCCATGCCCACCTAGCAACTGGCCAGAGAACCCGTTGCTGAAATTTTTGAAGCCCACCCCTCCCCCCTCCCCCAATACAACAGAAAGCCTTTGATTGAGAATATCAAAGAGTAAAAGCATGCATAACATTTCTACAGCACTGTAGCCACCTGGAAGCATCCATCACCCTTGTCTACAGTCCGGACAAGTGTTTCTCAACCTTTGCATCTTGAGGTTGTGAGGACTCCAACTCCCAGAACTCCTCAGCCAGTATACTGGCTGGGGAATTCTGGGAATTGAAGTCCACACAGTCTCAAGCTGCCAAGATTAAGAAATACTGATCTGGGCAGACCCGATTCATCTCTAGGCTGAATGTAAAAGCCAAGCATATGTAATGCTCATTATCTATTCCCCTTGATATCCTCAAGTGTCCTTCTATCTCAGTGTTGTAATACAAAGCCCAGAATCAAAATGGAAGAAGTAATTATTGCTTGGACTGTAAAATCTGGTGGAAGCTCATCTTATTCTACATGAGTTACCTGGTTGTCAATTTTGAGTTCAATTAGTGTTGTGTTGTTCTGCAGTGCTTTTATCAGGGCCAGGATTCCAGATCCAGTAATAAAATTTGATTCCACATTTAAGCTTTTCAATACGTTGTTTTCTTTTATCATTTCTGCCAACGCCTTCCAATGAAAACAAAGACAAAAGGAAAATATTTGCATATTATTACTGTTGCCAATAACTTTAAGCAAAGGTGATATGAATGATAGCATCATTAATACAGGAATGCTTTTTGTCATAAGTTAACTACACTGCTGACTCAAACCAGAGTTTTCTGTTATATCTTTTGGGTGACTCTGAGAAACCCACAAAGAAACTTTGACATATCACACGGTTCTTGTTGTTGTAAGGAACATTAATGGTGCTAAATTAGACTCTTGGCTAGTTCAACTCACAGCTGCCAACCAACTGCCCAAGGAAGTTGTACAAAGTAAAGGCAAGATATAAATCTAACGATGAACAAATTAACATAAGATTATTTTATATGTGAAAATAAAAATTAGCTTTTAGTAATTGAAAATCAGCTAGGAGAATGACAATAGAAGTTGCAGGATCCAATCTGAGCTAGTCACTGGGAACAAAGCTTTATTCTTCTGCGCTTTCAGGCTTGGACTGGAGTTCATAATCAAGGAACCTCTCTCTCTCCAGAGATGTTGCCCGATGATGGGCAAAAGCTTGGAAGAATGAAGCTTTGGTCCCGGTGACTGATTCAGTTTGGATCCTGCAACATTATCCTCATATGTTTACCTTCATTCACAACAGAAGTCCTCAAATTTGATTAATGATTAACCTGAGAATTCAGCTACAGAGAGTTCTTTGTAAAGAGTACAGTTCTGCTACCAAGGAACCTAAAATCAGTTTAAGACTGAACATATGTCAAGTGTATATTACTTTCTTAAAAGGGCCCTGGTTTAGCTCCAGGGATTTTCTATTCTTTTAAGAACCTGCGGTCTTTCCACTATAGAATTTACAGTATGAGTTTCTCAAAGGTTGACAGCTTGGAAGCACTCAGCCCCCTTACTTCTTTACCCATTGCCCCAATTTCTTCTCTTTCTGTCAACCACATCTGTCATAACTCTAACAAACAGCTTATAAGAAGTATGATTCATTAGAAGAAATCCAGAATAAACCATTGAATAACAAACAGTATAGTTCAAAGAGCTGTGTGAAAGAGCCATATAGTCTCCATTTCTTGCTCAGTGCAGGAACTGCTAAAGTGTTCTGGATAGGGGGTTACGCAGTCTCTGTTTGAAGATCTCCAGTAGAAGAAAAATATGCTACCTCATGAAGCAGCCGATGGTTATTATTGCCTGGTATTACACTTATTACCTGGAAATTCCTTAAAATAAATAAATCCCATGACTAATTAGAATGTCCTTTCACCCACTGTTTGTGGTCCTAGTTTTTAGCACATCAGAAAACCAGTTCACACCCTCCTCTATATGACAACCCCTTTTATGTCTATTTCTTAGAACTACTATCGCATCTTCTTTCACTCATCTCTTTTCCAGACTGAATGTACCTGGTCTTTTAACTGTTCCTCACAGGAATTGGTTTCCAGTCTCCTCCCCATCTTGATCACTCCCTTTTTAACTCACTTGGGAAAAGGCAATGATCTTATCTGAGACTTGGGTTTCAACCAAATAGAATGTCATTAAAGGAGGCAATTCCAATAAAAGCTTTCCTGAGAAAGTTAGGTGCAAGTCATCTGACACTTACAAAAGCAACAGGGTCATTACTTCTTGTTCCTACTATGCTGAACTTTTTCACATAGGTGTTAGTCTTCAGAGCTTCAGCATAAGCTTTCAAAATAGGCACAGGAATATCCTTTAAAAGAGAAACATTAGACAAGGGTGATGTGAGCTGTTTTTATTGAGACACAATTCTAAATTCAAAGGAATCCTGGATCTCCTAAATCCAGTGACACCCTTTAAATCATTTCAAACATGTCAGTTCTGTGCTACCATGCTACCTTTCCCCCACTGAGCTCTTTATCAAAAAATAGACCCATTTGGGATAATTTAATTTTATTTATTTAACTTATATACCACCCATCTTGCCTGGATGAGGAGGAGTCGGAACAGAAGTTAGGAACCTCAACTTCATTTTAAAAACACGTAGAATAAAGCAGTGGTAAAATATATTGCAAAGAAAATCAAGCAACTGCACTTGGAAAGTAGTATGTCCTTTTGGTCATTCTGCCATACTTTAGATTCTTCCTTGATTTAGAATTATAGTCCAAAATGTGCCTGGAGCAAAACATGCACAAATAACTGCAGTCACTTGGTTTTCTTTGCAGCATCAGCTTTGTTTCATATGTTAGATATCAGAGAGATAGACAGGGAAAACATTTGCCATATTAATGCCAACCATATTTTCTCTAAAATGATTGACTGCTTTTCAATGGAAAGAATGATGTGTATTGTTTTAGAACTACCATCTCAGTTTAACTTCTACTTTATGATTCAATTGTAACTCTGGTGTGAAAAAGATACCTTTTCAAGAAATCAATTCAAGTAATGGAGGGAAAAGTTATTGCCTTTATTCTCTAGACTTCTTGGGTCATGGAGAGGGAATGCAAATGGCAGCATATAGCAAACCTTGGTTGAGCTTGAAAAAAAGGCATGCAAGTCCAATTTGGTAAATACTTGAACGGGAGACTATTCAAGGTTATCCTACAACATCTTTAAAAATCTCGGAAGAAGTCAATAGCGAGCCTCTTTATTGTGAAGAAACCCCAAAGAGTGTATTTCTGTACAGACAGTCCTTGACTTACAACACCATGGGAACCTGAATTTCTGTTGCTAAGCCTACTTAAAGCAAACCCAGGGAGAAAGGAAGCCGTACCTTAATATTATTGAGATTAATTTCCTGAAGTTCTGGATCATTGTTTTTCACTCGTGCCAAAGTTTCTTCTACATTGGTCAAATTTGGCTCATCAGGAACTGGTTTATACTGTGTGGGCTTAATTATACCTACATAAGTGAAAGAGATAAAGATCCATGTCCATTTGCTTCTGAACAGTCATTAGTGATACAATGAAAAAAGAGTAATAGCTTCACTCTTACTCATTTTGTAGGCTTCAACCCAGATCTCCTAAGCTTACANGTTACAATTTTTCCCTATCCCTGGCCCTCTCCACAGTGTCAAATAGCATCCCAGTTTGATGTTTGGGGAACCGTTTTGAAGCTGGGCACTTCTTAAAGTAATTTCACATTCCATTCCCAGACCACGTATCTTTGGAGGCTGCTTTATTCTGGTTTGACACATCTTGTCCCTGTCAGCTTGTCTCCCTCCCCAAGTTCATTTGTCTTCTTCTCTCCAGCCCAAGTTCTCCCAAATTCCTTTCCATCCCCCATCGGTTTATAGCAGGATGCCAATAAAGCGAAGCAGCTGAAAATGGCAGACCTGACACCTCCCTTTTGTTTAAACTTTGAGATGCATAATTTGTCTTTTAAAAGTTGGGTTTTTATATAATCTTGAAGATGGAAGACAAGATAGTTACAGCTTTGTAGATGACACCATGTTGAAAAGATTGGCTAACTCTTTACAGGGCAAAACAAAATTCCCTTCAGAGGTCTGAATGCTGAGTCATATGCAGCAGTAGTGATGAAGGTGAGATGTGCATGTGGTAGGAAAAAATTAATTAATTAATTAAAAATTAATACAAAATTGGGGAGACCAGGTGGGGAGCAGTGTATGTGAGCTGCATATGGGAATACCAGTAGACCCTCGGTGTTATATAGCAATTAAAATGACCAGCATAATCTTGAACTGCATTAATTATAGCATTGCGTGCAGACCATGATAGCTGAGTGCTGCATGGAACAATGCATTAGTTAAACCACAGTTAGAATACTATTGTAAGTCTCTAATGTTGGGAAAGTGGAAGGAAAGAGGATGAACATCAGCAAGGAGGATGGATTTGATTACAACAGCAATATATGGACTGCTGGAAGACTGGAATGGTGAGATCATCCTAGAGAAAATCTGCCTATATCAGGCCTGTCAAACTAGCAGCCGCAAGCCGCATAAAGCCCGCATAGGCCACACCCACCCAGATTCGCAAAGGCAAAAACATCCTAATACGTCACAATACGGCCCACAATGCGATTGGTTTTTGACATTCCTGGCCTATGTAGTCACTACCAACTGGATGGCACACATCAGTTGAATACTATGCCTGGTTCAGGGGTTAGATTTTGGGAGAGATTTGGGGCAGTTCTGGCCTTGGAGGAGAGCTATCAGAATACTGAAAGGTATTACTTCTTCGGCATGAATACTGCAGAAGCCATCCTGAGCTGCATGGTGAGATAATAATAAGTGTGTGGTCAGCAATTAGTACTGGAAATTAGCATCACTTAGGTAACCCTGATGACAGAGATAAACCTTCAGGTGACCTTAACAAATCCCTAAAAGAATGCAAATGACCAGCTGTCTGCAAGGAGTATAAATCCTTCCATTCCTCACCATTCAGTCAGAGCTGAAGAAGCTTCTTGAATGAGAAGTGAAACATCTTCAAAGAAAAACCAGAAAGTCCAATTGCCTCTTGAAAAAGCACCTTTGGGACATTAGCACTGGAACTATCAAAATATCAGGCTTTAGCCTACAGGCGGGACTGGAACTTTATATTCAGTCCAGCTCATCTGTACTCTGTTGAAATTAATTCTGAATTATGTACTCAAGATGATACAGTGTGAATGTTCTTCTAAATGAATCGTGCTTGTGGCCTACAAATGTCTAAATGGAAGAGCCAGTGGACCTGTGTTGAAACTGGAGAAAAGAAAGAGCCAACAGGTTTAAAATGAATGTGTTGGTTGAATGTTTGGATATATTTTTATGAGAATTTGCTGATAAACAATGGAACCCCTTGCCTAGAACAATAGTGGCTTTTTCCTAAGTGGAGTTTTTCAGCCAGGGCCTAGATGGCTGCTTGTCAGGGATGCACTGAGTAGGAGAATGGACTGATTGGGTGGCCTGTAATATCCTTCCAACTCATTCTTTCTATGTTCTGAAGAAATCCAGCAGTGAGACAACGGGGTACCATAATATCTGCATTTGTTGCTGATTTTATCTTTTAATATCACAGTTAAGTATTTTTTTTTAAATTGCAGGGGCATTTCCAAGGCTGTCTGGCTCCCAACATTAGGAAGTTCAGCTATTTCCCTATCTACATAGATGAGAATTTGGACCTTTTCAGGGGCAAGCGCATCCTGATGTACTGCACGGGAGGAATCCGCTGTGAGCGGGGCTCAGCCTACCTCAGGTCTAAGGTGAGTCACCTCAGGGGAGAGGACTTGACCTGGAACTGGTCAGATGTGGAACGCAGCAGGATTTGCACAATTACTCAATTTCCCTGGCAGATCTAATAGGTCCAATCTTCTGGCAGTTATATAATGCTGAACAAAGTCAGACTCTAGATAACCACAAATTAACCTGCACAAAATGGCCTGAAATATTTAAACTAATTAAGTGTTCAAAAAGAGCCTGGAAGAGAATACTTGCTCTTTCACAACCTGTAATGGATGAATCATTGCAGTTTAGATAAAGATCAAAGTTACCCTTTAATAATTTTGTGAACCCAACTGTGCATTAAACAGACACCTTTGTTCAGTGCAGGAAAAAACAAATGGAACAAATCTTGCTCTTGCTGCAAAATGTATTCTGCATATGGCCATTCTACGGAGGAGCAAACAGCTCAATCAGACCCCAGAATGTTATGTAAAAGATAGTATCATGTAGCATCACCCAGCCTTCTTTGATATAATACAGAGTTTACCTTCATTATAGTTGGGTGACCTAGAAGACATTGTAGCCCATTCATTGGGTTCTTATCTAATGTAGTTACTAAGAATTTCTCTGCTCAAGAGGACGCAAGTTCTTGATGGGCAATTCAACTTCCTACTTGTTGGCACGCTTTCCAATGATGTAATGGGCCTGGAATGTTTCAGGGCCTTTNAAAAGTTTATAAATAAATGTATACATTTATACATTTTTATACATCTTATGTCTCTTAGCAGCTGTACTAAAAGGAATAGTATGATTTATAGATTTTGTTTGGACTGTGTTTTTAAGATTTTTTTTTCAGTTTAGAGACCAAAGAAAAGAGGAAAAAAGACATTTAAATGTCTTGTTTTCTGAAATTCATGCTTGGAATTTTTTGGGTGCATAAATTGCATGGCAGCAAGGAAAACTGTTATCTGTACTTCATCATAACTGTTTTCTTTTTAAATCTACATTCACTGTAGACATTGACAGTGTATTTGCTTCCTTAGTGAACAATGACAAATTGTATGTCTTGAAAAAGACTACCCCTCGCCAAAAAATAGGGGGAATTTTTCATATTATATAAGCATGTATTTAGAAAAAGTATTTCTTTGATCAATTCTAAAATGTGTATTTTTCTGAAACTCCAGTAAAAATAAATCTAACATTTCTACACTATTAATAATTCCAACATTCTCAAGTGATCTCCTCTGTAAAGGAGAACATGTTTCTCTATAATCAATTCTAAACAGAAAGCACTAATCACTAACATTCCCTAGAGATTATTTCAACACATGACCCCAAAGATGGCGATATGGGTTCACATTATGGATGCACATTAAAAAAGTGCCATTTTCATCTTTACCTATAAAATTAAAAACAATTCTCTGAAAGAAAAACTACAGAGAATAAAACCTATAAATCCAACAAATCCAATACCCAGCTTCCCCATCTTATCAAACTAGGTTTGCTGACTCCAATTGAAACCAAATTTGGAGATCTTATTGCCCTGACAATAAGCCACTAACCTACTTGAATCTTTCTCACTCTGTGTATAGATACTTGCTAGAACTTCAAAAACAGAGCAGGAACTGTGCATAAAAAGTGTTAAAACTGAATTAAGAACTACTAATTAATATTATTGCTTGTAAAAGAAGATGCTGTATTCACAGATTTAATTAACACTACAGATACCAACTATTCTGGTCTGTTACTGAGATATGCGATCATTCTCACAAACACATGCAGACACATTCTCCTTCCTCCTTCCAATAGAAACACACACCAAAGAGAGAAAAGGAAATAATTAGAATAGAGCTGGAGCAAGAGGAAAGTTGTTCTGAGAAGGAAAAGGAAGATTCAGTGTTAAAGGGTATGGTCCACAAAAACTCTATGTTGTGATTTCGCAAATACATAGTAAGGAACACATTTTGCCTTCCAAAGAACACAACACTGCTTTTGTAATTCCAATGAAAGCACTGAATTCTGGAGCTACTTATAGTGAGAGAAAGAAAGAAAGAAAGAAAAAATGTATGGAGACAAGGCTGTGAGAAAAGCAGTCCTATTTAATGTTTCAGAAAGTTTAAATTCAACAGGCGAAAAGTCCTCCCAAACAAGAAGCTAACTTTTAGAACTGATCTTCAAAAGATCAGTCTAATATTTGTGATATTTGGAGCCACTTGCAACTCATGCTTATTCCTTTGTTTTCACTACCTTCTGCTCTTTTCATTAAATGTAGGGACACACAGAATTATAGTGGGGGGGATCAAATGTTGGGCAATTATCTGGATTTGAAAGGGGGAAAGTGATTCTGAAGTGTGGAAACATACATCATACCTGTTGGCACCTTTTGAATTACTGAGTATGACACAAGCATTCTCACATATTCTGAATCTGCTTTCCTCTCTTGAATCTGGATTTAATCTGAATCTATACTGTTTTATTAACTACAATTGTAAATGCTGCTGCTTTTGACTCCCTTTGTTAGATT